CACTTCCCTCTAGTCAGTAGTTTTACTTTCAGTTTAGACTCTACAGTAATGACACAATGACAATTTTAATTTACATGACAATTATACTCATTGTTCAAATGATTATCAAATGCACATTACTTTAATACATGCTTTACATTAGTACTATACCTGGTGTCTGTAGTGTCCTTTGAATATACTCTATACAAATAAAATTACATTAACAAAAATTTTTAATTTCTTCATCATTCACTAACTATACCTTTTCTTTTTTTGATGGTATTCAGTTGTTTATCTTGTTCAAATATTGATCCTAAGTATAATACCATTAGTATAAGTAACATCAGTAATTGAGTAATAGATCAACTCACACACCTTCTTTGTAATCAAGTAAAGTCCTCAGTTCTTGTTCCTCTCCATCAGCTAGTTTAACCTCCTCTGCAAGACACTCATTATTAATTACCTATAATCAGTACATTATATTAAACAAGGTCTCATACAGTTACAGTATTTTATACTTTGTATCTGATCCTTCTATTATAGACAGTGTAGTGGCCAATGGTTAGTCTAATTAAACTGAATTCCTTCATCAAGACAGTTAGGTTGTCTTGTGCTTCCAAGAGAAGAGCAGCTAGTAAATGATGTGGAGCATAACAGATAATAATGATGGAGTTCCCACGATGAATGCTTTGTACAATAATCCTCTTGTTTAATTCCTTAAATGCTTCCTCTAAGAGATTACGTATGTCATCAAGTGAGTGCTCATCTGGTTCCCATCCCAAAGTAAACTGAATTGTTTTGTAATCACTAAGATGTTTGGGTTGATTCTGACTGAGGAAATCCTTCAATGATCCACAAACTGTCTTCACTTCTTTTTCGTATTCTGATATCAGTGGCTTTGCTTCGTTGATTTCAAAGCGCAGTACAATTGTTTTTATTATTGAGATGTCATTGACTTGACAATTCTTCACTATAACATTCATAATGTCTTCAATACTATCAGCATTAGACAGCTCAGCACTCAATTCAGGGAAGGATAGTTGAAGGAATGACTTCATTTCTATGACTGACGAAATTGATTGAGCAATTAATGGAACTATCTTATGGCGAAGAATACCAAAATGACCTCTGATCTCATTAAAAATTGGTTTATGTGCTGCATTGAAGAAAAACTCTCCAGCTGAGGGTACCATAAAAATTATTAAAATGGATAAAAATTCATTAATACCTGACACTGTAGACTGACCATTTAGTGTACCACTGTCAACTGGTTTAACTAGAGCTGTATTCCACATGCAAAAATGTAATACAATGCATAATGGAAAAATAATGTTACCTGATGATATTGAGCCTGATGGTCTGGTAATAGTAGAACGAATGATACAATACAAAAATACTGGCATTAATAATATTATAATTATGAAAAATATGCATAAGTATACTACAATAGAAAAATAATAATTAATAATAATAGATAAAAATAAAAAAATAATAGAAAAATAATAGAAATAAGCCAGTGATTGGGTATTATTTTTATGAATACAAATGCCTATAAAATAAATTAATAATAAGAATTTTATCATGCATAATCATTACCTGATGGTATTGGTGGAATATTATTATTAGCAACTGATGGAGGTACTGGTGAACTAATAGTAGTGTATGTATCATCAAATTTAGGAAACAGTTCATCTAAAAATATGATGCAACATAAGCAAACTGATTAATTTAAGTATCATCATGTATTACGGATGAGTGCAGCAGCTGTGTTTTGATTCATCCTTTCAAGTGCACTAGCTAATGATC